CAGTTTCCTCCCTGGATTTCTTCCCACCATTCACTTTTTCAGGCCTTTTCTGTAGCCCCTTTCCAGGCTTCTCTAGTGAAGAATGCCTCCCAAGGCTTCTCCTCAGTTCCTGCCCTAGGCCACGCTCCCAATCCATCACAACCCTCATGTCAGGGCAAGCAGGCCTACTGCCTGGGCCCCTGTGAGTCCAGCCCCTACCACACTCCAAGGTCACACTCCTGCTGTTGGCTGAGCTACTTCTTCCCCATCACCTCATAGCCCCACACAAGCCATCTACCCTAGAGGGTACACCAACCCCGGCTATCTCTTATATCACCTTCCTGTTCCTCTACCACCAACTGAGCTCTTCCTTTGCCTCCTGCTCCTTCCTTTATGAAGACCTACCTCCTTCCCAGCTGGGTTTGATCACCAATTATGCCTAGCACCCTGGACCAGGTGCCATCCTGCTTACCTGGGCTCAGGCTCCTGCTAACCCCTGGCTAACCAGGGTGGGGTTTGTACACCCCATCATATTCCCCTTCACTGGATTTTTTTCTCCTTCCCTCCCACAAGCTCAATAAAGCCAGAGTCAATCCTTTAAACCTAGGATGCTCCAAGCGGTTTGACACCAGCTGGGTTCCCCCAACCTCAAGCCTGGCATGATGATGTATCTGCTAACCCTAAGCTCACAAACAGATACAGCTGGGCAGCTAGAATGAGGTGGATCCAAACTTCTGCCCAAACCATTCATCCAGCTCTCAGATTTGCCTGGCCTCCCTGTCCCATTAAAGTTATTATCATTAAGGTGACTTTATTTTTTTAGCTGTAAGGGCTCTCAGCCACTCTGTAGTGAAAGGCAGCTGTAATATGACTAAGGCAGGCTCCAGAGACAAGATAAATATATTACGCCATGCTCAAACACTCAGAAATTCATCTCCCACCCGGAGCAGCTTTCACTTCCAGAACTCAAAAACTTTTGACTCCCTCCTGCCCCGAAGGAGAACATGAATGGAAAAGTCCAGTTTAATAAATGGCTAAGACAAAGCCAAGTTCAGCTCTACACCTGTGCTCTGATCCTCAGCCCCCGCAGCTGTCCCAGTGCAAATTCCTCACACCAGTCTGCCATTGCGCCAGGACAGTTATCCAGCAAGCAACGTGCCACTGCCCATCCAGTCCTGCACCCTGGCGCGTCATTGCGAATCAGAGCTGGTCCAGGCAAATCTAGCCCTCTCTGCAGTGTCCTTTATTTGGGAACACGGCAAAGACCAAGAATCAATTTGCAAATTTCTTCTCCCTCCACCCCAGAAGGTGAATAGAAGATCATTTGAAACAGCTAACATGCCAACCAATAGAAATGCATGCAGAATCAATATTTCATTATTAATGTAATATGGATAGATAAATCCTGCAACCTCAAAGGAACTCTATCCCCTTTTCTTCATCTCCTCCTTTATTGTATTGAACCAGGCCCCCATTGTATTAGGCGCTATACAAACACAGAACACAAAGCCCCAGCCCCAAAGAGCATACTTGCCTGATCTCAAGCCCCCATCTTTAGTGGCATCGTGCAGTGTTTTGGATGCTGATTAAGTTCTACTACACTTTATGAGCCAGGGCCCAGATCCTCAAAGATATTTAGGTGCCTAACTCCCGTTGATTTCAGATGCCAATCTGGCATAAGCTGAGACAACTCAATCAATTTCATTGAAGCTGCACTTGACTTACCCTAGCTGAGGATCTGGCTCTGTTTTCCCCTCAAAGAGCTTTGCTAAAAAGAAAGAAAGAAAGAAAGAAAGAAAGAAAGAAAGAAAGAAAGAAAGAAAGAAAGAAAGAAAGAAAGAAAGAAAAGTCTCTCCCAGCAATGATACTAACCAGGAGTCCATTCCCATTCCCTGTCTTCTCTTCATCTGCGCTGGGTGATATGGTTTATCTGAACAGTACTTACTGTAAACTCTGTCAGCCCAGACCAAGATTAATTCTCTGCAGTTTGGCAGCAAAGAGATTAAATAACAAGGGGGGGAAATACACATCTGAAATTGAAAAATTCTTCAGGGCTAATTTACAATCAGGTTCCTCTTCTCCTCCCACATTTTCAAATGCTAACACAGGAGAGGGGAGGAAAGATAGGGAAGGAAAGGGTGTGGGGAGACTCTTTTGGTTGTACCCCCACCCAGTGAAATGGGAAAGCAGGGCAATGACCAGAACTTACACAGCACCAGGCTGCTGGTTTCACAAGAGAGATGAAGTGTGGAAAATTCCACTTCTCCCCTATGCACAACCCTGTCAATGGTCCCACAGGGGCCCTGGAGTCTCTCAGTATAATACAATCACCAGCTTGGAGCTCTCAGCTTGCCTTGAAGGATTGGAGTCCCCACCACCAATTGAAAGAAATATTCAGATTGCACCGTCTGGTTAGTAATAAATCCATCAGGCCCACTTGCCCCCAGTAAAGGAATTTATAAAGCACTAAGGAACATATGGTCCATCTAATGGCTCGATTGGCCGGCTGTCCTGGCCTTCTCATTTTGAATAGACAATGCTCTGTGCAGCCTGGGAGTTCAGTGTTACTCTCACTCGCACTGGTGTAAATCTGGACTAGCTCTGCTGCCGTCATTGGAGTTACTCCAGATCTGGATGGATAAAATGCCAAGCAGAATTCAGCCCCCTGTCCATATCCATGAACGGTTCCGTTGGGCCTTCACAGAGGCCGGTTGGAGGGATACAGAGAAGGGAGATTCCTGGCTTTATTTAGGGTACAGATTGGGCCAAAACACAATGCCATCAGGAATCCTGATAACGTTGCCACCTCTGAGAGACAGAAAAAAAAAAAGCCACTGCCTCCCTCGCCCACCAGCCTGATCCTCCCCTTGCCCTCCCAGGCACCCCCCCAACAACCAGCCTGACCCTCCTCTTCCCCTCCCAGGCACCCCCGCAACAACCAGCCTGATCCTCCTCTTCCCCACCCAGGCACCCCCCCAACAACCAGCCTGAACCTCCTCTTCCCCTCCCAGGCACCCCCCCAACAACCAGCCTGACCCTCCTCTTCCCCTCGCAGGCACCCCCCCCAACCTTCCCCTCCTCTTCCCCTCCCAGGCACCCCGCCAACAACCAGCCTGACCCTCCTTTTCCCCTCGCAGGCACCCCCCCAACAACCTTACCCTCCTCTTCCCTTCCCAGGCACCAACCCCGCAACCAGCCTGACCCTCCTCTTCCCTTCCCAGGCACCAACTCCGCAACCAGCCTGACCCTCCTCTTCCCTTCCCAGGCACCACCCCCGCAACCAGCCTGACCCTCCTCTTCCCCTCCCAGGCACCCCCCCCAACAACCAGCCTGACCCTCCTCTTCCCTTCCCAGGCACCCCCCCAACAACCAGCCTGAGCCTCCTCTTACCCTCCCAGGCACCCCCCCAACAACCAGCCTGACCCTCCTCTTCCCTTCCCAGGCACCCCCCCAACAACCAACCTGACCCTCCTCTTCCCCTCGCAGGCACCCCCCCCAACCTTTCCCTCCTCTTCCCCTCACAGGCACCCCCCAACAACCAGCCTGACCCTCCTCTTCCCTTCCCAGGCACCCCCCCCCCAACAACCAGCTGACCATCCTCTTCCCCTCCCAGGCACCCCCGCAACAACCAGCCTGACCCTCCTCTTCCCTTCCCAGGCAACCCCCAACAACCAGCCTGACCCTCCTCTTCCCTTCCCAGCATCACGCCCAACAACCAGCCTGACCGTTCTCTTCCCCTCGCAGGCACCCCCCCAACCTTACCCTCCTTTTCCCCTCGCAGGCACCCCCCCCCAACAACCTGACCCTCCTCTTCCCCTCCCAGGCCCCCCGCCAACAACCAGCCTGACCCTTCTCTTCCCCTCGCAGGCACCCCCCCAACCTTACCCTCCTCTTCCCCTCACAGGCACCCCCTCACAATGAGCTGGGGAGTCAGGCTGCTGAATCCCTTCACCATCCCCTCTCCCACCCCGGTCCCCACTATGTACTCGTCCCTGCTGGTGAGCCACGGGTCCATCTTACTTTCCAGCGCCATGAGGAGCAGGAGCCTCAGCCCCCGTATTGGCATGCTGAGGGCCCGGCACATCGAGCAGCACCCGGATGCCATGCCAGCAGCTCTCCCAGGTGCCATGGGACCTGTGCTCTGTAATGGAAGCAGCCCCTGGCACCCCTGTACATGCACGCGGAAGTTGTTGCCAGTTGCAGCTTGCCAGGGTATTTTCACTAGTGCCAAGTGAAGAAAACCCCAGCACACTGCAACCGGCAAGAGAAGAAAAACCAGCCAGGTTGGTTTAAAATCACCCAGGTGGCAATCTGAGGCCCAATCCTGGTTGGTGGCCCCTGAGATTGGGGGCCCCATGCAAGCACACAAAGTGCACACTGGTTCATCCAGGCTGGATCCAGAATCAGGATTCCTGACTCTGCCACTGACTAACTGCAGGACCTCAGGCAAGTCATTTATGGCCACATTTTCCAGAGCAGCCACTGCCTTTGGGTATTTTAATGGATGGCTGCCGAAGTTGGACTTCAGAAAATGTTGGTCCCAAGGGGTTGTATTGTGTTCTGTCTAGCAGGAGGCTACCAAAGGCCCTGGATCTGAACATGCCCAGGCTTTGGGAAGTCCAGAACCAGATCCAAATTTTGCAGCTATTATAATGGACCAAACCAAAACTCTGAGGAAATTCTAGATCTAAACTGTGCAGCCCAGGACCATCTCTACCTAAGAGCCCACCTAGTGTCTGGGAGCTGGGATGAGACACCTTGAACCAGCTCTTGCCAAGCATGGGGTTAGCTACAGGATGGACACGGACCATATGTTGGAGCAGTGCCACTCTAGTGGTCCCCCGGTTGCAGGATCAACCTTGCGAGCAGAAGAGAAGTTGAGCTGGTTGGTGTTTTTCTGCTCCCCCCTGGAGGCAGATCTTCAGGACAGAAGATTTAGCCCTTACACTGGGAGGGAGGGGAATTACTGACAATATTTAAGGGGGCAATGAACTAGCAAGATGCATCCTCTGGTTTTTCAGGAGCCCCCTGGTGGCAGTGGTGGTGGCAGCAGCAACAAGGTGACAGAGACTCCACTGCCAACCTGAAACACTGCTGTCCATGAAGAGCAGCTTGCATTGAACCATAACAGTGCCCAAGGGAACTGCATCTGTCTCATTCAAAGTGATTATTCAGTATATGTATATTAGAATGTGGGAGAACCTCAGGGGATTCCTGTAACCAGACCAACAATGTTATACGCATGCATCAGCATTCCCCTGACTGTGCTGTGACTGGGAAAAACTAGCTTCCATTTCCTGATATGACCATTAGCAGAATGAGATCATCTGACTGTCATGAGACCTTCTATAGTTCCTGAGAATTAAGATGCTATCGGCCCTGCAGTGTGCGTTACATTGAACAAACACTGAGTTCTTTTAAAAAGAAATTCCAGCCTGGAAGAAGGGAAAGACCTTCAGATTGCAGAGCTCCTATCCTACAAACATTTACACAGATAAGTAACTTGACACCCATACATACATACAAAAAGTTATTCATGACCATCAGAGTTTTCAGGATCAAGACTGTATATGCATGATCCATTCTAGCAACATCCACATGATACAGCTGATCACAGCGAATCTGGTCTAGATCTCAACTCTTAACAGTGGACCTAATTCTGACCTTACTTAATCAATTTCCAAGTCGATTTCTTTTATTTACACTGGATTAGCATAAAGCAGAGTCAGACCCAGATTTTACATCATTTTCATGTTGTAATTCTTTTCCTTATGATTAGTATTGGAAGGATTTGACTTTTATCTCTGGTGAAACTCAAAAAGAAATATTGATGTTTATTTCTAAAGCTTTTACAAATGATTGACTAAAATGTTTGCATTAGTGGGAAATAAAGAAAAAAACAGGTACTAGTTATTCAAAAAATTAATGGTTTAGAAGCTGAGATTCAAAAACAGCTTCAGAAATAAAATCATGATCAGATTCCATGATGTGGACGTACTTATATTTTATTTTTAAGCAGAGTAAATAGTGATTTTTTTAAATGAACACAAATACTTATTAGCCTTTAAGCACTATTTTAAAATAATTAACTTTCCTTTTTTTGTACATTTTAATTAGTAACTACACATATTTTCTCTCTTCTTCTATTTATTTATTTATTGGTAGAAGGAAAGATTGATTCTACACAAAGAACAGCCATAAACTTTCAGGCTAAATTGCTTTTATTTTAGATTAAGGGAAACAACAAAAGAAGAAAGAACAAAAAGAAAGTTTCCCTGAGAGATCACAGTGAGTACTTCTCTCTAACAATCTGTACTAAAGTCTGAGAACAAAATAGCTGTTGTCTCTGCCTGCAGGCTGAGGTCTTAGATATTGTAAGATGCAGGACACAGAACAATGAAACATAGGCTACTTCTACACTAGGGATGTAATTCCTAGCTCACATACATACATTTGCACTAGCTCTCAGCTCTCAGTGTAGCTGCAGTAGCCCTGGCGGAGGCAGCAGCGGCATGGGCTAGTCACCCCGAATACAAACCCGCACACATCCCATGGGTAAGTACTGGGGACATCTAACCCACACCGCCGCCTGTACTCCTGTGGCTTCACTACAATTTTAAGCATGCTAGCTTGATAAGAGCTAGTGCGAGTATGTTGGCTTGTGCTGGGAATCACGCCCCCAGCTCTAAGTGTAGACATAACTGTTGTTCCATAGCTACCAGCACCACACCATCTACTCAGCCAAACCTAATCCTTCCAGCCCTGTTCTAATCTGCAAAATCCACAACTCGTCTGTCATTTGATCTGTCTGTCAAGTGTCATGCACAACTATGGGGTTGTATAAATAATAAATCCATAAATATTATTATAATGTAATAGTATATTTTATAACAAAGGTGATTTCGGAACGTGTGGGATGCTTCATTCTGGGTATCATTCTCCTAATGAAAACACCCTCCTCTTCGCGGTCCTACATACTGGTGACCCCAACTGTACTTCTTCTCCCTTATGACCAGTGTTTGCACCCAGGACGCTGTCTTGTGGATTTGTTTCATCTTGATACATTTGTTCCTCGTCACACGGTGTCACGGCCTTGTGTGTGTTAGCGCTCAATACAGCATAGACAACGCCAAGCATTTAAAAATCCCAAGTCTGACCCCCAAAAATTCATGAGGAGCCAGAAGTCATGAGATTTTAAGAAATCATAAATGCTGGTTCTTTTCATTTGCATTCTGGTGCATGGGATTTCATTTTGATTTTGGCTTTTGGGTTTGTTGGTAGTTTTTTAACCTTTAGGGGTCCCCTTTTTCAAGATTTCTTTGCGGCCATGAGGGCTAGAAAGTCACTTTTTTAAAAATAGAAGCTAAGATTTTTCCCGTAACAACGTGACTCCAGCAGCTGGGATTTTACAAAAAACACCGAATCTCACAAGATTCACAATGAATCACAAGAGCTGACACCACTTGGAATGCCCAGGAACCACTATCACCTGGAGGGGGGAAGGGGAGGCCTGGCAGCCGGAGGGGACCGAGTACAATGCTGGGTTGGTAAGAAACCAAAGGGCAGATGGTGGCCCTCACCCACATAAAACACTGAAGTCCAGGAGTCCATTGAGGGGCTGGAGTGAGGGGGAGCAATGCATTTTGGAAGCATATGGCGAGGGAGATCAAGGAATCCAGGACAGGGAGAAGCTAAGGTTTGGTAGTTCTGGGTCCCATTTTGTATTAAACACCTTTTAACAGGTTGCTCTGCCTTTTAAAGTGCTGGTGTGGGGGGTTGGGCCTTGACAGCCCTGTGCAATTATCAGAACCAGCTGGGAAGGGATCAGTCAGGTGTTTTCTAGAAAGGGCCGAGAGAGAGCCCAGTTGGCTGGGTGCTATAGAAGGGAGGGTTGTGTGGAGTAGAGGGATGGGTGCAGGGAAAAGGTCGCCACACCCTGGGTTGGTCTGGGGAATGGCTTTGTTTTGTGTTACTTTGTGTAGTTTTGATTTAATTAGTAACCTGGGCCCTGAGGAAAGGGCATGAAAGAGCCTTTGGGCCTGGTGTCAGTAGTTCCTGGCCTAGGGAGAGGGCCAGCAGCCTACTGCCCACCCCACCCCCAATTGGTAGGTTAAAACATCCTCCCACTATTGATCCTGATTTGGGGCTACAAACTGCCCTGTTCTGTCGTCCTCGCTAAGATTAAGAATCCAGCCTGGTTTCTGCCATTTGAGCATGGGCCTCTTCCAAACCAAAGGGATTCTCATTAGCTCCTAGCAGTACAGCATCTATGACACACATAGAGGGCAGTGTTGCACGGACACATTAGCCAGCTCATAGGGGGAACAGAACATTCTGGATGGAATGTCTTTTGTGATGTGCTAGCTGCTCTGAGACAGCTGTTCCTGTCCGTGAGAAAATGACTGGCAAGTCACCTTTGAGAGAGTGAGAGCTGATGGTGATAAATATCACCTGTTACTACCGACTGGCACCTCAGCCATAGCCTAGACCAGGTAAAAGAGCATTGCAAAGGGCAGAAGCTGGTAATTCTGTGCAGTTTCTAATCAGCCCTCTAGGATACTAATTGCTATTCCTGACGTGCTGGGCGAAGAGGGAAATGCCTTGATTTTTTTCTGTGCTGATGCGACACCACTGCAAAGTGCCCGAAACGTAATTAATCCTCTGTTGACCCAGCTTGGTTCTACGGCTGCCCCTCTCCTATCACCTTCATGCTGGTCCCAGAGAGACAGCCAGGGATAATCAGCTGTCAGAAGGGCACAGCACTGATTAGAGAGGGGGGAATCAAAGCCAAACAACAAAAGGATGTGGCTGAATGAAAGCATGGCTGTCTGTCTCCAGCCTCCTACCCACATCAGGCATGACTGGCTCAAGGACATTGGCATCTAAAGCCAAGGGGAAGCTAGAAACTGGTGCAGGAAAGGAACAGAGCGAGATCTTAATTCCAGCTCCAGCTGAGTTCTGCTGTGCTCATTTAACAAGACCCCTACCCACCTTCAGTCATGTTTAGTCCACACAATAGCAAAAGCAAGGGTTAGAATTCAGAACCCCCCGTGTCAGAAAGTCCTCACTCCTCTTATTCCTGGGGCAGGGTCACGATTTTTCTGGTATTGAAATACTGATAAAAAATAAAAAGGGAGGAAAATGCCAATCACATTGTTGTTAACTGTTTCCCCTATTTTTGACCAACCATCGAACAAAGGGAAACATTCTGAATTTAGACATTTCAAATTTCAACAACAAAAACCCAGGCATTTATTTTTAGACAGAATGTTCAATTCCTTCCCCCACCCTGTGGTGTTTGAGTAGCCCTAATTATTTAAATTAACCTTAACTCTGCCCATTCAGAGCTTCCAGCCAACCTTCATTTATGAAGCCTCTTGATATGGGCCAGAGACTCTGACCTCACCTCAAAAGGGGCTCCAGATCCCAGTACTTTCCCCCCATTATTCATGTCTAGAAACTTTCCCACACATACTCTCCTTCAATTGCCACCATAGGTGCTGGAACTAGGGGTACTGCTGCACGCCCAACTTGAAGTGGTTTCCATCATAGACAGGGTTTACAGTTTGGTTCAATCGCTCTCAGCACCCCTGCTACACACATTGTTCCAGCACCCCTGATTGCCACCCCAAGCTTCACCTTGCCCCTTCGTTCATGAATTACAATGGTATGGTTTTTTTTCATTATTTGGTACTGTACAACCTTAACCCACCCTCTGGCCAATAATCCATGTAAGGAGGGGGATGGTGAGATGAACTATAAGTCTCCAACTAAAGTACATTGTAGTCAGGACCTTGGTCTTGAACCCCAGTCTCAAACTTAGATTCCCTGGGTTGAGGAAGCAGCCTTGGCCAACACATCACACCACACCACACCAACTGATCAAAGAAGTCATACACTTGAGTGGCCAACTTTCTGCATTCTGCAACCTGCTTCCTGATTGGCCACATAGTCTTGACCCTGATGGGCTGGTGACCATATATAAAATTCCTGCTTTCTTTCTGGCCTTGTCTGAACAACAAGCCATTGCCTGCTAGCTGCTACTTGGACCTGGCTTGACCTGGCCTTGCTGCCCCACCCAACCTCACCAGCTGCCCTGCTGTACCTTCCCCTTGGATTGGATCTCCTGGCTATCAGAACTTCTTGCATGAACTCCGACCACTGATATAGACTGCCCTTTGACCTGCCTGACCCCTGATATTACACTTTGACTGATTGGGGTTCAGAGCATGACAGGTGGACAAGGGCACAGGGTGCAATCTTCAACCCAAAGCAAAACTGTTACAAAGCTCAATATAAATCTGACCCCCGTCCAAGGTTATGCTCACAATGTGTCATCCTGGAGTTGGGTTTGCAAAGGGGTGGTCAAATCTACGGTGACCATAACCATCTAATGCATTTTAATAATTTCTGTCCCAGACTACATCCAGGACAAAATCATGCTTAGCTTACACATTTTAACCAACATGATGTTAACACATTTTCCAACATGGCACATTTCCCAGTGTAGACATGGCTACTGTGACAGTCACTCTGAATGAAATGTAAATGTTTAGGTTCATCCCAAACCCAGTCAAGCCATCTGCCCTGGAGCAATTAGATAGAACACTCTCAGCAAACCAGTCCGGGGGATGTCTCTTCAAAACCCAGTGCACACATTGGCCTAAATACAGACGTAGCGTAATCCCGTGGATGGAAGCTAGGATAATAAGTCTACGTTTGGTCACCAATCTACATTCAGAACATGGCCAAGATCCAGCTCTCAGTTTCCATGGAATCTGATAGAATTATACCAGTGTGAATGAGAGCAAAACCTATGCCCTGGTCTACACTAGGACTTTAGGTCGAATTTAGCAGCGTTAAATCGATTTAAACCTGCACCCGTCCACACAATGAAGCCCTTTATTTCGACTTAAAGGGCTCTTAAAATCGATTTCCTTACTCCACCCCTGACAAGTGGATTAGCGCTTAAATCGACGTTGCCGGCTCGAATTTGGGGTACTGTGGACACAATTCGATGGTATTGGCCTCCGGGAGCTATCCCAGAGTGCTCCATTCTGACCGCTCTGGACAGCGCTCTCAACTCAGATGCACTGGCCAGGTAGACAGGAAAAGAACCGCGAACTTTTGAATCTCATTTCCTGTTTGGCCAGCGTGGCAAGCTGCAGGTGACCATGCAGAGCTCATCAGCAGAGGTGACCATGATGGAGTCCCAGAATCGCAAAAGAGCTCCAGCATGGACTGAACGGGAGGTATGGGATCTGATCGCTGTTTGGGGAGAGGAATCCGTGCTATCAGAACTCCGTTCCAGTTTTCGAAATGCCAAAACCTTTCTGAAAATCTCCCAGGGCATGAAGGACAGAGGCCATAACAGGGACCCGAAGCAGTGCCACGTGAAACTGAAGGAGCTGAGGCAAGCCTACCAGAAAACCAGAGAGGCGAACAGCCGCTCTGGGTCAGAGCCCCAAACATGCCGCTTCTATGATGAGCTGCATGCCATTTTAGGGGGTTCAGCCACCACTACCCCAGCCGTGTTGTTTGACTCCTTCAATGGAGATGGAGGCAATACAGAAGTAGGTTTTGGGGACGAAGAAGATGATGAGGAGGAGGTTGTAGATAGCTCACAGCAAGCAAGCGGAGAAACCGGTTTTCCCGACAGCCAGGAACTGTTTCTCACCCTAGACCTGGAGCCAGTACCCCCGAACCCACCCAAGGCTGCCTCCTGGACTCAGCAGGCGGAGAAGGGACCTCTGGTGAGTGTACCTTTTAAAATGCTATACATGGTTTAAAAGCAAGCATGTGAAAGGATTACTTTGCCCTGGCATTTGC